CTGGAGTGCCTGAAGAGGCAGCACCACCATTATGCCCAACTGGCACTTTCCCAAACATATCACAAAGGTGTTTCTTTCCCAAAAGGCAACTGAACTTTCTTGGTTTTTTCTTTGAAAAAAAAACTTCTCATTCAAGAAACTTCTTCTTCAACTATTGAAAAAACTTCTTGGATGATAAGTGAAACATTTTCAAAGAAAAAACCCCCAGGAATGTCCAATTGCCTTTTGGAAAAAGCACCTTTGGGCCAACCATGGATTGAAAATCTTCCTTAACTTATTTCCGAAGCAATTCTCATGCCTTTATGTAAGCCCCGTTTAACACTCTCAAGCTTTTTGAAAGTGCATTATTCCTGTGCTGCCCCAGAAGGTCAATTTAATTTGGAAAGAGAGTCAGCTTTGCCAACTGCATGTCAATGTCACTATTGACAGTATTACAGATTTTCTGCTGCTCTGCAACCAAGTCTTTTACTCTTTACTGCTTTTATTAGTTTACTATTTTGTTTTGGCTTTATTGGCACTAGGAGTCATGGTGATGCCAGCTCTTCTTATGTGCAGACCAGTCCTGACCAGAGTAGGCCTTAAATACATATATATCTTGTTCCCAGAAGCAGGTAGTAGTTCACCTCTGCCCATCGCCGCCTAGTCTCAACACCTCCCCTTACTCTACCCACCACACCTGCCACAAATAATTATTTTTGTTATTCAAAAAGTCTTTTTCCTTTCTGTTCCTCCCCTCACCCACTGCCCTTTGGGTTACTTGTCAGTTTGGATTATAGACCACTGTCATCCCTTTTACTCAGCTTAAAATACTTGTGGTTTCATAATGTGTCAGAAGACTTACCTAGGGAGAGAGCTTTGCTTGGATGAGAGAGATTGTCAGGGAAGGAATGTATCACTAGGAGTTCCTTGGGGCAATTCTTTGTAGATTCTTCATGGACCATCAGGGCAGACATATTTAGGAAGAATGGAGATGGGAGTGAGTTTTGTATCACTGCAATACACATTTGCTTGGTATGAATAGAATCAAACCACACCATGGAAGGATATGGCCAATATTTTATCAATTCAGTTATAATATAATAATCACTTTCATCATACATTACAGTACATGGGATAACCAATAATGGGATCTTCAAAGTCTAGGTGGATACTGTGACAAAATCTGGCCACAGCCTACCAAGTTCTGTTCATAATCTGCTTGTTCTGCTTTCTTTCTTAATTTATTAAATTCAGCCCTTGTTTCAGTGCATTTCAGATCCCCCTCTGATTCTGCCAGGGAATTAAGCAATAAGCTGGCCATTTTGCATAACTGCAAACGAAGGTAAAAAGAACTCTAGAAGAGCTCCAGAGATATTTCTTTAAACTGGTGAATGGTTAACAAATGACAGACTGGTTAAATGTAAGTTAATATAAATAATATAAACAACATTTTTGAAGAAAATTGCCCATTGTACGAAACAAAATGATGCACTAAAATGAGCAGCAGGACTATTTATATGTTATTAGAACTGATTTGTCTCTATAAAACAAAAACTTTTAAAAAATAAAATGCTGATCACTTCTCTCTGTGTGTGTCTCTCTGTCTCTGTCTCCGACTATCTCTCCCTTTTCTCTCTCTATATTGAGTGGGGTTCTGCAATTTTTAACCCCCAGAATTTTCTGGGATTGTATGTCCCTAAATTCCTAGTATAAGTAATTGAAAATAACTGAAGAGAATAATAACTGAATGGTAACCTTTTTTCCCAAGAGGCAAGAATCACAGAAGAAAATGCAATGAGGTTGTGAGATTATATGGTTGACACCCAGTTTCCTTGTCAGTCATAATGCAAACTTTTTTGTTACCTTATGTTATAGACTATTTTATTGCAGTTGTTTGTTCTCCTTAGTTTTTGTATGATTCTTTGAGTTGCTAGCTTCATGGATTTTTGTTCCTCCTTGAAGGACTGAGGAACCATTTATTCCATGGTTGTGAGAAAATTGCTGTTCTTCTTAAGATGAAGCAAGAAGACAGAAAAGTGCATGTTAGAAAGAAAATTGAATTAAATCCAGTAAGTATAGTCTGGTTTTTCATAAGGACTCTTGGTCAAACTCAATAGAAATCATACTGGAAACAACAAAAGCTGGATATTCAGCCCAAACTGACAAACTCAGGAGTCTTGGGTGTTTTATGCAGCACACCTTCCCTGGCTACCTACAACCCTTAGTGTAGCTAAGGCAGATGGCAAACAGTTAATGAGAGGAGCAGTCCATTAGTGGCACTACCTGGTATAACAGGCCAGGGAAGGTCAGTCTGGCTATCTCTATGACAGCTCAGCCACATGGAAGGGTCCAGCCTGGGGCAATTGGAGAGATGTTAAAGATTTAAAAAGAGTTTAGAAGAAAGGGGCTGAAGGCCAAACAGAGGTGATTTTCAAAGGATAACTTGAAGCAATTCCAGAATGTCTCAGTCTTTGTCTTCACCAAGAGGCTGGTCTCCAACTTAGCTCCAGATCAGCACTGTAGATTGCTGAGCTTTGAATCATATCAAGTCTGAGATGCCTGCAGCTAAAATTCCAGCACCTAACCTCAACAAGCTTCTTCCCACCAACCAAGAACTTGGGACGGAAGAACACTTCATGGAAGGTCAGTTCATGGGGAAGAAGAAATATCTAGGCTTATATTCTCTTTGGGCCTTCTATTTCTACCCTAACCACCCTCAATATATTTTGAACCCTCCCAAGACTTTGTGCTAAAAATATAAAAACATCTCCCATATGTATTTAGACTGGGCACAAATGGCCTTTTAAAATTCTTTCAAATTTTCCCAAGGGCAATTTTTGTCTTATTGTTAAGAGCAACACCACTACTTGAAAAAGATAAGTGGAAATGTTCCTATGTAATTTTTCTTGTTATTGAAGTGAGAAAATCCCATGGAACTACAGACCATCGTGAAGATAAGCACACAATGAAATAAATTTATCATATACCCTTTGGCTAGCCAGTATCTAAATCTCCACCCATAAGAAACCATTTTTTCCCTTTGAGCAAATGTGTATAGCCAAATCTCTTTCCTCAGATTGAAAGAGAAGTGGCAGACAAAAATGCAGACTGATTTATCTGCCAGAATTAACATGTGCTGCTTTGCAAAATACATATTTGATGGCTTTGTTTGTATAATCACAGTCATCCCTGCAGGCAAGTGACTGTGGACCAACAGCACACAATCAGCCAGGGTCATCTGCAGAGAAGATTTTAAAAAGTAAAGATAGTGGCTGCAAATGCCTGATGAACCCCTTGCTCCTTAGGCTTTGATCATATTGTTGGGCTGCCATCTTGACTTCTTTGACTTACCACAGAGGCTGCTGGAAACCATAATTTCTGTGTTATTTTTTTGCTCATCAGTAAAAAAAATGTTTGAAATCAGTGGTGGCTCAGATGGTCAGATAGGGAAGGAGGCTTACCTGAACCACTCTTTTCGGCTCCTGGAGTGGAGAAAGATAAACTGAGACGGAATCATCAAGAGGCCCCTCAACTCTGGTGTTGCATAAGGACCACCTTTGTTTTGACAGGCTGAGGGGAAAATTGATCAACCCTAACTCTCTCATCCATAGAGGTAGACTTCGACTTACAGTATATGCATTCATTTAGTGACCGTTCAAAGTTACAACCTCACCAAAAAAGGTGATTTATGATCATTATTCACACTTACTACCATTACAGCATTCCTGCAATCACGTGATCAAAATTTGGATGCTTGGAAACTATCCCTGAGTCATATGGTCAGCTTTTGTGATCTTCTGACAACCAAGGCAATGGGGAAATCAGATTTACTCAATAAATGTATTATTATTAACCTAACAATTGCAGTGATTCACTTAACAGCTGTGGCAAAGAAAGTCATAGAGTGGGGCAAAACTCACTGCTTTTTTGCTTAGCAATGGAAATTTTGGGCTCAATTGTGGACTACTTGTAATTTTTTAACATATTTATTTATTCTTTTTTCACCAAAGATAAAATGCAAAACAAAAAGAAAGAAAAAAACAGACTAATGAATATTCAACACTAACAGTGACAAAAATAAAACCCATGTCTACAAAAAAAGAAAAAAATCAAATAATCTATTTTAAGCATAAAAAAATCTACTCCAGCTGAAGAGCAATAGCAATAGCACTTAGATATACACCACTTCACAGTGCTTTACAGCCCTCTCTAAGTGGGTTTACAAATGTGAGCATATTGCCCCCAATAATCTGGGTCCTCATTTTACCTACCTTGGAAGGATGGAAGGCTGAGAAAGATGCATCAAAAAGTTAATATGTTCTCCTCCTCTTACATAATAGGTCTATAAATAGTTGTAGACTTTCCATCTATATTTAACAAAATGCCCTGATGTGGAAATCTATTTCTCTAATAATCAAATGGACACAACATTTAATAACCTTAGGCTTAGGCTTTGAAACAACCAACTGTGGTTTATTTTATAAGCCATGTTCAACAAAATAGTACTTTGGCTTTTAGCTGATATCATTCAACTCCCAATACATTACTCTACACCATTCCAGCAAAGCTGATTAGATGATATGAGAGTGTGAAAATGTAGAAGGAAATTGGTTTAAAAGTTGTTTTCTAGTGCTGCCAAGAGTAAAATGAATATTTAAGGAAATTAAACTAATAAAGAGATAAATCTCAGTTAATAAATGTTTTGCATGCTTCAGTGCAAAATAAGCAGTCCACCATTAGTAAAAGCAGTTGCAACCAGTTGTTGAGTCTTGAATTTAAGGTACTGTAGGAGCAGAATGAGCTAGAGATATCCAGTTTTGAATAAAATCTGAAAAGGAAAACAGAGAACTTTTCCTTTTAAACTTTTAAAAGATATTGATAAACTAAAGTTGTAGAACTGTGGACTTAGCCACTGAACTGCAAGTGGAGGATTTCTGAATAAGTAAAGCAACCCCTCTCGTTTTTACCCTTCAGGCCCATGAAATGAACTTTGACCTGATGGCCAATAACCTTCAGTCAAATTTGAAACACTGGGAGTAGCAGGGAACATCAGTGCTTCCTCAAGCTAATCAATAGGAAAGTGTAAATAGGATGCAATGTCTATTAGTGTTTTTGCTTCCCACTCCAACAAAAGGGAGGGAAAAAATGGCTCGTATTCTTCTTCCTTATTTTCAGTACATGTTGCATACAGTTGTTGGCCCTTTGCAAAACAAAACAAGTCCTCCTTCCCAAATCTGAAGGATTGAAACAATTGGAGGCTACGTGGGGCTCCAGTCCCATTTCTTCTGCTTGCGTTACAAAAGCAATGGCAACCTATGGAATTGAACAAGTAAACATGTTAACATTTGGGCAATCAGCTGTTTTCCTGAATTTCTTTTGATTGTAAATTCAAACTTCTATAGAACCAGTAGTAAAACCGGCGGGAGGCTCCGTCCACTGACCCGAGATGTCATGAAAATGCTTCTGTGCATGTGCAGAAGAGCGTGCGTGTGTGCGGCCCCGTTACAAATCGGTAGTAAAGGTAAGTAGAACCCACCTCTGATTGAAAGGCTTGTTTTTACTGTTGTGTTTACAGCTGTTTGCTGTGCACAGTAGCCGCCTCAGTGCAGGGTAAAACTGGCAAAACCTGTGTCCACTTCTCTTTTATCTTTGGCTAGTGTCACCTAGATACCGTGAAAACTACAATAGACTGCTGCTTAGTCTTCTTCTTTCTTCTCAGCAACTATCTTGATCCTAAATTTTCGTGAAATATGTCCTCAATTAAAGCTCCAGGAGTGAGCAGAAATCAAGAGCTTGTTTGCCTTAAATTCAGGAGAAAGAAGACAGAGAGGCAAATGTCCCCATCAATGAAGAAACTGGGCTGCCAACCAGCTGGGTATTTGAAAGGAAAAATTAGCTTTGCTGCAGTTTCAGATGAACTGTATTTGAACTGGCAATAAATCAGCTCACCTTTCCAGCATTGCTGGTAAGGTGGGAGCAGAAAGAACCCCAGCTGCTTTTGAACTGGTGCAGGATCCTCAAGTGAAGGCATCAGAAAAGTCAGAGAGGAAGTTTGCCAATATCCAGGACAAGATGGTAGGTAATCAGTCACAATAATGTGCCTGCCATTTTGCAGTTTGACTTTCTTCTGTGAATTTCTCTGCATATCCTATTTTAATTCACAATTTCCCCTCCATTTGAAAGGTGCTGTTGAGATTTCAGTCACTTTAAATTCTGAACTGTAGACCTAATATTTCAGCTTTGTATATTCTGTAATTAAAAAAAAAAGATGAGAACTAATTCAGTATTGGAGACAGCCTGGTCCCAAATGATACCCTTAAATTGTTAAGACTTCAGCACCCATAATCCCAGCAGCATTAGATTGATCTAGAACCTTTTGTCCCAATGTACTTGCTATTTCTTTTTAATTTTTAAATGTTATTTCTGCTCTTAACTCAGAAATTGTACTTTTTGTTGCTTTGTACTAGTATATCTGTAAAATTGAACAGCCTGTAAATTTTGTTAGTGAAAAATCTTCACCAAATTTATAGATTATTTTGTTAATTAAGATGTTGATATTCTTTGATTTATGTAGAAATATTTTTCAACAACGTGCTCTCTATTCTGTTCCATCCTTGACCACTTCATTTTAGCTGCTGGGCACCTTCAGCTAGATTTTCTTTAATCTTCCTTGTGAAACATTCTTAGTAATGAATCTGACAAGTTGGTCTCCTGAAGTGTGCTTATGCTATTTTCTTGTCCCTCCAGTAAAATAGATCCCTCCCTCTCTCACACACACACATATGCATCTTGTAAATTATACACCTATCTGTCTTGGAATCGTTTTGCCTCAATGCTACTTGTGACACCAAAACAAGCAGCAGAATCTAATGGATTGCTGGTGATTATAACAAGACTTGGTGTGGTCAGCTTTGGCCATTAGTGCAAGGTCAAAGGTTTCTACAAACATTTAGCATTCAATGAAATCCAAAAACTTTAGTTTGCTTGTTTTGAGTTTAACCTATACCTTCAGGCTATCCACTGTCATGGCAGTGGATATGTATTATCAGCTATACATCATCAGATATATGGAGTGATTTGGCTTTTGTTACGAGGTCACCAACAATGTCCTCAAATCAACAGAAAATTTCCTATATCTCATGTTATAGATTTTTTTAAAAAAGAAGGCTGATAGAGCTTCCTAGAAAAATATCATCACAGCTTTCTTCTCAAGTGTAACCCCACTCTGTGAAGTTTATTTATTGATTCAAGCCTTCTTTTAATTCAAGGGGATGAAAAACTGGATTTGTTATCCATAACAGAAGTGTGATTTGTAGCATGGACTGATTATAAAGTCACGTCCCTTTCAGAAATAAGTTTAATATAGACTACAGAACTGTCTTGGGTAGAAATCTCATTTTGAACTTTGACCCAAGTTTTAAAAAATGCCACGAATGAGGTATTTTCAATTCTTAACATTTTAATTCACCAATATACATATACAGCAGTAGTTCTGTTCACAACATAGAAATTAAGCAAGAAAAACTGTTCTTGTTGCTTCTCCTCCATAGTAGTGAAAGTTTAATTTTCTTATTTGAATATTTTGGATTGCTGATACAGAAACAGAATTCTATGGTCAGAAAAGTGTCCATACCAGCCCTGGTTTCCCAGGAGATGATATTGTGTACCATTCTTGGGCTCGCCATCCATTTGTAAATCCCAGTAGAGGTTCCCACCATACCTCCCCACCATAAGAGTGAATCAGACCAAGAATCAATCTAGTTAAAAGTTGTTCCACATGATCCAGCAAACGTGGGAACTTTCTCCCATGACTGACCTAAATGTGATCTTGAACCAATTCTTAACATTTGCTATTCTCATACCAGCAGTGTCTGATGTGATGCCAGCTAAACCTACTGTCCTTATGTACAATGTATGGGGCATATCAAAGACAGAGACTGGGAGATTCAACTGGCTTCATTTTGGTCCTCTCCCAACAAATGCCATCAACCAGGACAAAGTTATGCTACAAATACTGTCTTGAGTGGGGGTTGGGGTGGGGGGTGGGAGGAGGCAAAGTCCCAAATTCCCTCTCAAGGTGCTCAACTACTGTTCCAGTTCCTTTTGAATACACTTTAACTAATATCATATTCAGAAAAGAGTCTGAATAGCAGCTGATCAGCCATAGAGGTTTCATAAAGAGGTTATGCAATGATTCACGTTAGCCTTCTGTCAAAGCCTCTGAGCTGGGAATTGGCTGAGAGATTTGACAGCTAGAACAGAGAGCCCAGTCTAAACTAGGTCAGGGCCAAGGCAGTGGTGAAATCCTCTGTGGGTTGTCACCAGTTCGCTGCCTGTGCATGTGCAGTGCGCACCCAATGCTGCACATGCATGCATGCGCAGTGCACACCAAACGCATGCTTCGTGCAGAAAAAGGAGTCTTTTGAAGTAGAACAGTGAGGGGGGAACCTTTCCTAGATTTCTAGGAAACCTAGAAAGCATAGGTTTCCTACTTTCTAGTGAATATAAATCGCGGGGCACAGCTGATCGTCAGAAATACCAGTTTGTATAAACCGGTAGGTTTTTTTTCTACCAGTTCGCCTGAACCGGTGCGAACAGGTAGCATTTCACCCATGGGCCAAGGTGTTGAAGGGAGTAACTCTTCCCCACGCTAATGTGACCAATAAGAAGTGGACTGATTTAACCTGGTAGGGGTTATCTAATTGTACCACCACTTATTACTCATGTCAGAATAATAAGGGAAAAGAATAATGACTTTATTGATTAATTAGATGTATATTGGATTGTATAGTCCAGTTTTTGTTCTGCTAACAGTGATTCAAAAGTGACTCACTCCTAAGATACGGATTAGGTGAAAGGACATCAAGAGGACACAGCAGGATATATTTATATCATGTTTACGTAAGTGGAAAAAAGTCCTTGGATGTAGAACAGGATAGTTTATCCCTTTTTCTTTATTAATTTGTTTAATCACTAAGGATGTTGTAAGATGGGGTTCGCAACTTGGGCGTCCTCCTGGACTCGCGGCTGTCTTTAGAAGAGCATATGGCGGCCGTAGCCAGGAGGACTTTTTATCAGGTTCGCCTGATTCGCCAGTTGCGTCCCTTTCTGGATCGGGACTCGTTACGCACGGTCACTCACGCCCTTGTCACCTCACGCCTGGATTATTGCAATGCTCTCTACATGGGGCTCCCCTTGAGGAGCACCCGGAGGCTCCAATTGGTCCAGAATGCGGCCGCACGGGTGGTGACGGGAGCGATGTGGTGCTCCCATGTGACCCCCCTCCTGCGCGAGCTGCACTGGCTCCCAGTGGTCTTCCGGGTGCGCTTCAAGGTTTTGGTTACCACCTTTAGAGTGCTCCATGGCTCAGGACCAGGGTACTTACGAGACCGCCTTCTGCCACCAGTAGCCTCTCACCGACCAGTTCGCTCCCATAGAGAGGGGCTCCTCAGGGTGCCGTCGGCCAAACAATGTCGACTGGCGGCCCCCAGGGGGAGAGCCTTCTCTGCGGGGGCACCTGCCATCTGGAATGAGCTCCCCCCGGAGATACGGAGGATCCAAGACTTACGCATCTTCCGCCGCGCCCTAAAAACGTTTTTATTCCAACAGGCTGGTCTGGCCTAACTCTCCCTTTTAAATTGGCTTTTAAATTGGGTTTTAAATGTTTTTTAGATAAATTGGATATTTTTAATTTGTTTTTTGAGCCTAAATTATTTAATCTGTTTTTAATAGTTTTTTAACTTTTGTATGTCTCTGTATTTTATTTTGGCTGTTCACCACCCTGAGTCCTTCGGGAGTAGGGCGGTATACAAATATGATAAATAAATAAATAAATAAATAAATAAATAAATAAATAAATAAATAAATAAGAGAAAATAAGAAGAGATCACTCTTTTTACCGTAATTAAATGATTTAATTAAAAAAATAAAATAGGCAGTGCCAGTTATTGTAAAGGTCAAAGGCAGTTGTTTTCATTTCCTTCATTCATCTAACAAATTTACTAACAATTTTGTTATCTGAAGGCCAGGCTGGGCCAGGCTTGTTGTACAAACATGAATTGAACGTAACTTTTTCCGGTTTGAAATCTAGCAGTTTTATTATGTAACAATATTAGATCAAATGAGATCCATTTCCTATGTGAAAGGAAGTGGGAATTTACTTCCCTTTCCACCTCATATACTGTATTCTCCCATCTCCAAGTAGCCACATGCAGATATTCTTATAGAGCACATACTCACAAAATCTATTTCTCATTTGCTCATCATGCAGGTAAAATCCAGTGCATGCAAAATCCAGATTTAACCCACGCCCTGGTCATGGTAAAGAAGAGAGGTTCCCCTACATTTGTGAAAGAAACACACTTTGTTTAATTTCAACAATGAAGGACCTTGGAAGCCTCCCATACAGCCTATCAATCAAGAATTGACTGGATAAAGTTTTTAACTGATTGACTCACAATAGTTTTTTTTCTTTTTTTTCACTTTATTAATTTATTTTGGTTCCTCAAGTAATCAGTCAAGACATCTCATATACATGCCTATTTATCCAGAGTTCCTGGACAGTGAAGAATTTGCTTTGTCTCTCTGATTTTATGCTTGTCATTAAATGCTCATTAGATTACTAAGGTCTAGAGCAGAGATATCAAACTCAGAGTGCTACAGGAGGCCGGGAAGGCTGAAAATGAGGTGCATGGGGGCCGCATGTGCCCAGTTTTGGTCGGCAGGATGCTGCAGGAGGCATCCGTTCCATCTCCCCCCCACAGAGGAGAACTACAAAACTGATCCGGCCCTCGGAAGAGATCCAGTTTGACACCCCTGGTCTAGAGGACTCTCTTGATCAAGCCTAGCCTTCCACCATTTGTCCCCTGGATCTATGTCAGTTTCAGGCTAACAGGCATAATCCTGTATTAAACTGTAATAAAGCAGCACCCATATAGAAAAAGTGTTAAAGAGCAGGAATGTGCTGTTTACTCTAAAAATAACAGTGATATTCCTCCTAAATTGCAAGATCTAAAACGTATTTCCAGAAATATAGGAAACTCCCTCATATAGTACTGGATCATTGCTCTGAGGTTTCAGGCTTTCCATCTTTAGTTGCAGTGTAAAGCATAATTGTATTTATACAAAGAATTTGGTATTTACTATATACCAATCTATGTGGGGCCATATTTGGAACATTATATAGTTTTCATTACCATCTTAAAAAGAATGGTGTAAAAGGGGAGAAACCAACAATGGAAAATGATAAGAAAAATAAATCTGAGCGCTTGTGTGAGGAAATATTTGGAGTATTTTTTTTTAATTTAGGGGAAAACATTAAAGATAGAGTGGACAAATACAGTGAAAATACAGTGAAAAGAGCCTGGTGGCTCAGTGGACTAAACTACTGTTAAAGTAGTATTTAGCTGCCAGCTGCCTGCAATTACTGCGAGTTCAAGTCTCACCAGGCTCAAGGTTGACTCAGCCTTCCATTCTTCCAAGGTAGGTAAAATAAGGACCCGGTTTGTGGGGGCAATAAGCTGACTTTGTATAAAATAGAACACCACTTGGGGAGGCCAAAAATCCCTACTAAGCAGGTATATACAAAAGTATGAAGGCTATTGCTTAAAAGCATTGTAAGCCGCCGTGAGTCTCCGGATAAGGGCGGCATATAAATCAAACTAATAAATAATAATAAAATAAATAAATAAAATGTTGCTATGCTCTTAATCTTATGACTTTGATTCATGAAAATTCAAATGGAACTTTAGGATCTATAAAAGATTTCATATAACTAATAAAGGAGAATTAAGAGGCTTGGTTGCCCACCTTTTATAAGGAAAGGTGGAATGTTTCATTCTGCATGAGAATAAGATCACTGGTGTGACCAAGGCAGTTTCTGTGCAGAGCCAGGCGTCAAAAGCAAGCCTGCAAATTTAACAGACTACTCAAAGAAAATGTGAGCTGGACCTGTAATACTGAACCGCAAGTATTTTACTGATTTTTAAAAAAAAAATTACTTAAGAGAGAGGAGGAAAAGAAAGAGGGAAAAAAAGTCTTTTAAAATGGCGTCGGCTGGAGGAGAGGCTGAAAGGGAAAGTCCTTCCGTTTTTTATTACTACAATGTAGCGGAATAAATACCACTGGCTACATTTGTAGACAAAACTTCGCTCCTGTGTCTTTTTCTCCTTTTTTTTCCCTTGGAGACCTGATATTGTTGTTGATTGGAAAGAAGTCTTTCTTGCTTTTTTTAAACAAAGCCTGCCTGGGCAGAAACATGGCACCGAGACTCATAAAGTCAGATAAACAAGAAGGGGGGGGATTCCCCCACCAACAACTTAAAGGAACAAGTCTTAACTCTTCAGTCTCAGAAACCTGATTTTAATATAATAGAATTTTTTATAGAGGAGATTGAAAGAAGGGAGGAGATTGTGAATCAGCAACTTGAAAAATTTAAGCAGGAAATTAAAGAATTGGTGAAATCTAAGTTTGATTTTTTGGAGAAAAAACTCTCAAAAGTGGCTAATGGTTTTACAGAATTTATGATACAGTTGGATACAAATACTAATGTACTAGAGTCTAAAATGGAAGAAATTCAAGATAAATTGGACAATAGAATTCAAAAAATTGAAAATGATTTGACAAACACTCAGGATAATAGCTTAGAAGAAAAACCTAAAATGGATGCTGATCAAAAGTATGGTAATGCAGAAAATCTGCAACAGAAGATTGAAAAAGAGATTTTAATGGTACAATATAATTTCACAGAATATGCGATAAGATTAAGAGGTTTGCAGGAAAATAATAGAGAGGATTTAAGGAAAATATCTTCTGAATTTCTAGCTGGGATTCTAAAGGTTCAACCTGACGAAGTGTTTTGTAGGATTGACAGAGTTTATCGAATCAACTCCTGGATTGCTAAGCAAAGGCAATTGCCTAGAGATGTGGTGATTTATTTTACAGATAAAGTAATTAGGAATAATATCGTGCAAAATTCCTTCAATTCTAATTTGCAATTGTATGGAAGAAAGATTTGGATTTACAAGGAACTCCCACCTAAAATATTGATGGAAAGGAAGAAATTTGGTTTTCTGGTGATTGAGTTAAAAAAGAGAAATATCCCATTCAGGTGGGATGCCCCAGTTGGTATTATATTTAGATACCAAGGAGAAAGATATCAGCTAAATACTGTTGAAAGAGCGGAAGAATTTTATCAAAATAGGTTGAAAATGAACTTAACATCTTCAGGTATAATACAGGATAAGCAGAAGGAGCCGGAAATAAAGGTAAAATATCGAATTACAGAGACTGTACCAGATGAATTGCCTTTGGATTTATTGGATACCCCAGCTGGACTATCTACAAATTTGAGAGAAGTGGCATCTAACATTAATGTGATGACTTATCAAGGCAAGGATAAGCATGGAAACCAATTAGGGGATATACAAGGGATAAAAGAGAAACATGAGATACAAAAACAAAACCAACAAGACCAATCTACAAAGCAGAATAAAAACCGACCAGATGATACACAATTTGCAGAAAGGAAACCAGGATGGAAACCAAACCCACAAAAAGAAAAGAAAAAAAGAAATAGGTGGCATAAAAATAGAAATTTCTAAATTAGGCAACAGTGAAGCCAGTGACTTTAAAATATGAATGATTATGTGTAAACACAGAAGAGGCGACGTATTGGTTAATATCATCCTGAGGATTGTGGCAGATCTCTGCATGGCCGTAATTTGGGGACGTGAAACGAGCCTTAAACTGATGGATTTGAATTATCCATTTTGGAATTTCTTTTTGTGTTGATAAACATATTATATTATCTTGAATCACAAGGCAAGAGAATTATGCTGGGGCATGCAGAAGATCGGGTTGTTACCCACTACGATGATGGGAATTAATAATCCTGATGAAACCCACAATTATTACTATATGGAATATAATTATAATGTCACTCGGGTGGTTGTTTTTACTTTTATACATATAAGAAGATATTTACTACTGATGGGGGCAGAGATGATTGAAGATCCTGAATAAACTGTTGCACCAGCAAGCTATGTTACCCGATTATGGATGTTGGTTCTACCAATCCAGTGGAAAGACCTCAAAGAAGATACTATATGGATTATAAATTTAAAGTCATTGTCTTTTCTTTTCTTTTATTTAGATATAATGGAAAATATAGACATATATTTTTAAGTAGTGTGGGCAGTGATTCAAAGATATTAAGAAATGTTGTGTATGGTAATTTTGCATGATAGTGGGTGAATAAGCTAGTTAGTAGATTGATTAGTCTAAGAAAAGGGATTTTTAAGTGATATATTTAGGGGAGTGGAGGAAATGGATAGAGTGGAATAAATGTTAAACTAGATTTTATGGGGAAGGCCGCTTTGAAATGTTATAGTAATATATATAGAAGATTAAATGTTAAAGTAGGACTTATTGTATAGTTTTAAAGTGGAGAAGTTATTCTATAATGTCATAGTATAATGTCTTTTTTTTTTCCCCTTTCTTTTCTCTTTTCTGAAATGTATGGATAAAGGGGGATGTTATAATATTAATAATATTTTTAGTAAGTAAAGGTCAATATCTAGAGGAGGGAGTAAGTAATCTGTTATGAATTAGGTTTTTTTTTTTTGTTATGAAGAAGTCACAGGGGGGATGGGTGGGGAGGGGGGGTTAGGGAGGGGGAGGGAGAGGGGAAAAAAGGGGGAAAAATTTGTATTTGAAAACTTTTTCAATAAAAAAAAAAAAGATCACTGAAAAATCTTTTAATGTTCTTTTTTCTTCTGTTTTTTCCCCAAGCATCCAGATGCAATAGTGGAGAAAACAACATTTTTCTATTCAATTTCATTTGTGCACATATAATATGAGACCCAATGTAAAAATGGTGATGTTTTGGTAATTTTCAAATATTGCAATGAATAATTGCATAGCTCAATACTGTATCTTCAACTTTTGACCTCTCTCTAATTGTACTGCTCATATTATAAAAACGATAAGATGTTGAATTTCTTTCATGTAACATTTGAAGCCTTGGGGCAGTTTTAATTAAGTGTAGCACATTTTAAATTTGTAATGTGCTCTTTTATTTGCCTAATTTAAATCTCTTCTAAAGTATACTCCCTTGGTTTAAAACACCGAACCAAGAACATCCTAGATTTTCCATCAATAAAAGAATGGAAAGTGGAAGAAGACAGTCTAATTTAACTAATTATAAGAGTATCTGCTCCTTTTGTGAAAAAGTCCTTCCAGATTCAGCTTTCACTCTTTTGAGGTTGATTCCTGGGATCTCTAACATATGAAAGTTTTCATGGGATCCCCAAGACCTTCCACGATATAAGGCCCTCCCCCTGTTAATGAGTAAAAACCGGTGGATTGGCATCTAAGTACAAAAATTGCCATTGGAGTAGCATCCTTAGGATAGTTTCCCCAAATTTCCAGCTTTGCGGATTTGGGGCAACTCTCCTCTTTATATACTTACCAATATACGAAATATTTTGCTGAACATTTTCCCTGATTCCAGCACTTTTTTTTTTTTGCCTATTATTTTCAGTCATTTTTGGTTTTTTTCAGA